GGGCCCGGCTGGGCCTGAGCCCGCGACGCTCCCTCCCTTCCGCACATCCAGGTCCACCCGCGAGCCCGCGGGTCCCAGCGCTGGGGGGCACCCTCGTTCCCTTTCCTAACTCCATAGAGTTCCATGGGGGCTCTCACCACGAAGGGGCACCCATTTCCCTGGAATTTTTATATAACGACCTCTCAAAGCCATGGCTCTGGCAGTATTGTTGTTCCTTGTGTAATTTATTATATATTTTTTTTTACTTTCTGGTTTTTTGAGACAGGGTTGCACTGTGTGGCCCAGGCTGGTCTGGAAATCACAGTGATCCTCCTGCCTCAGCCTCCCCAGTATTGGGATTGCGGGTGTGTACTGTGACTCTTGGCAGTGTTGTTGTTGTTGGGGAGAGTTTGAGACAGTCTCGCTGTGTAGTCCAAGCTGGCCTGGAACTCGTGGCAGCCTCCTGCCTCAGCCTCTTGAGCACTGGGATGGACATTATTAGCTTTCAAGTTCCACGTAGTAGGCCCTGTTGTGGAATAGAATAAAAAGTCCTGAGTCACTTCTGAGTTAAAGGTAGAATTCTAAGAAGTGTGTGATAATACGATGAGATGTCTTGTTTTGGGTGCTGGGCATACTGGCCAAGCCCTCTGCACTGAGCTATAACCCGGAGTTGTTTTTTTTTTTTTTTTTTTTTTTTTCCTAGTCAGGGTCTTGCTAAATTCCCCAGGTAGGGTACAAACTTTCGATCCTCCTGCCTCAGCCTCCCAGGGTCCTGGGATTTCAGGCATGTGCCGCCATGCTCAGCTTAGGTCTTTCTGTTTCTCTTTTTCTTTCTCTCTCTCTGCCCCCACTTTCTTTCCTTCCACCTTTTTTGTTTTTTGAGGCAGGGTCTCGCTGTGTACCCTAGGCTGGTCTTGAGCTCATTACGGAGCCCAGGCTGGCCTCAGTCTCTCAGTGATCCTCCTGCCTCGGCCTCGAGTGCCGGATTTCGGGCTCTGCACGCTCTAGGATTTTAGTTACAGTACTGGATGCGTGTCCTTTTCTGTGGTGTCGATGATGTAACGGGCTGCTGTGGAGGTAAAATGAGGTCACGGTGCCCAGGGCAGCGAGTGCAGCCCCGCAGTTGGGCAGCGCCCAGTGGCACCGCATCTGATCTCCGGGCCAGGCAGGGTGGGCCAGACCCCAAGGCGCGCTGTTAAATTCCTTGCCCTTGTGGGGCTCCGGCCCCAGCGTCTGCCGAATATGGGGCTGTGCTGTAGACCGTGCTCCACCGCCAGAAGCCTTGCCTGGCAGTTTTACAGCCCCACGGCTCTGCTCAGTGTCTTCTGGTCTTTGTAACTCGTCTGCCTGCCCCGAGGAAGTGCGCGCCCTAATAATGCAGGAAGCAAAAACAAAACCGAAAAAGAGGAAG